TTAGAGGAGAATCATCTCCCATTAGCAAAATTCCTTAATAAAAATCACTTGAATGGAAAGTGAGACTGTCAGGGCATATAGTTAAGAGAACAGAAAGAAAGCTAAGCCACTCAGCATTAGGGAGGAGCAATAACCTGGAAATAAAAAGTGAGCAAAGTAAAAAGAAAAGCAGAAGGAAGGGGTTAAAAACACAATGAAATGGCTGGGGGTCTTAAGAAAGAGAAAGTGCTGGATCATTACTGCCATATGATCCAGCAGTCCCACTTCTGGGAATTCACCCAGAATTGAAATCAGGACCTTGAAGAGATATGTGGACTCCCTTGTTCATTACAGCACTATTCGCAGTAGCCAAGTTACAGAAACAACACAAAAGTCCATCAAGAGATGAGTGCTTTAAAAATGTGGCGCACGCGCGCGCGCGCACACACACACACACACACACACACACGAGGAATGTTATTCAGCCTTAAGAAAGGAAATTCTGTCATTTGCAACAAAAGGTATGGACTAGAAGACATTTTGCTAAACGAAATAAGCCAGACACGAAAGGACAAACTCTACATTTCATTTATGTAAGGTACCTAAAATAGTAAAACATAGAAGCAGAAAATAGATGGTGTTTTCCAGCAGATGGGGCCAAAGGAAGAATGAGTTGCTCAATGGGTATAAAATTACAGGTATAAAAAATGAGTAAGTTCTAGATATCTGCTGTACAACATTGTGCCTGTAGTTAACAATACAGTGTTGTACACTTAAATATTTGTGAAGAGGGAAGATTTCATAAGTGTTCTTAACACACACACACATGCACACACACACGCACGCACACACACACACATACACACATACACACAGGGCAAAGGGACACAAGGAAATGTTTAGAGGTGATTGATGTATTTATTACTTTGGCTGTAGTGATGGTATCACTGGTGCATGTGATGTCCAAACTTATCCAATTATACGCATTAAATGAATACAGTTTTTATGTATATCAATCATACCCCCGGCCAGGTGCAGTAGCTCACACCTGTAATCCCAGCACTTCAAGAGGCCAAGGCAGGAGGATCGCTTAGGCTGAGCAGTTCAAATCCAGCCTGAGCAACATGGTGAAACCCTGTCCCTACTACAAATAAAAAAACTGACGTGGGAGAATCACCTGAACCTGGGAAGGCTGAGGCTGCAGTAAGCCGTGTTTGTGCCACTGCACTCCAGCCTGAGCAACAGAATGAGATCTCATCTCAAAAAAAAAAAAAGAAAGAAAGAAAATAATTATATCCCAATAAAGCTGTTTTAAAAAGGTCTAACATTATAACTTTTATCATGTATTATATAATGCCATCCATTTCCCCAAACTAAATAGTCTATTGTCACCAACAAAAGCCTTGTGTGTGTACGCATTTATGTGTGTGTGTGAATCATGGAAAGATGCTGAAGTCCCTGTTTGGGCCAGTGTAGTGTAAGAGAGACAGCCTGCCCTGGTGTGACAGAAACTGACTATTCATGAGTATCCTTTATCTAATAAGAGATTCCTTAAGTTTTAGCTAAGGTCAAAGCCGTTCAGCTGAAATCTACATTTCTTACTCTTGCGGTCAAGTATGGCCATGTGTAAAGCTCTGGCCAATGATAAAAAGTGTTGCGCACGACACCTGTTGCACACAGCCCACCTCCTGGCCTCGGTGACCCAATGTGGGTGGACTCCGTTTCTGTACACGATCCTCTACTCTGTCCATGGCACGGCCCCCTACTGCGCATGGCCCACGTCTCTGCCTAGGTGACATAATGGGGTGGCCCCCTCCCTTGCTACTCACATAATTATGTATGCCCTGTCACTAAGCCTATAGATGATGACCTCACTTATGCCCCTTCCCCGCTGCTTGTACCTAATAAATACAGTTGCTTCTGGACATTCGGGGCCTCGCCTATCTCTGCTCATAGGTGGTGTGGCCTCCTCAGTCCAGCTGCTCTTCTTCAGTTCTTCAGTGTCCCGTCTCTTTACTTCTCAGATCCTGTGCCTCAGCACAGCAAAAGGGACACCTCACGACCTGTGGGACCCATAGCCCTACAGTTTGGTTTGTTTTGCTTGTTGATTTAAGTTCTTAACAGATTCTTCATTTTAAACCTTTGTCAGATGCTATAGTTTGCAAATATTTCTCCTATTCTGTAGGTTGTCTGTTTACTCTGTTGATGTTTATTTTTGCTTTGCAGAAGCTCTTTTGTTTAATTAGATCCCACTTGTCAATTTTTGTTTTTTGCAATTGCTTTTGGCATCTTTGTAATAAAATCTTTGCCAGGGCCTATGACCAGAATGCTATTTCCTAGGTTTTCTTCCAGGGTTTACATTTGAGTCTTCAATCCATCTTGAGTGGATTTTTGTATATGGTGTAAGGAAGGAGTCCAGTTTCAATCTTCTGCATATGGTTAGCCAGTTATCCCAGCACCATTTATTGAATAGGGAGTCCTTTCCCCATTGGTTGTTTCTGTTGCAGACAGTCAATATATATTTTTTAAGTTGATGAATCAAGAAATAGAGATATAAAACAAGCTATCCAGAATTTGGTGGCAAATAAGTAGAAAAACTAGATAACAGAAGCAGTTAAAATTATTCGGGTGATTTAACTTTTTACTTTATATCTCTGTGCTACTATTGTTGTTTTACTAAGTGCAACAGACAGGATAATGGTCCCAAAGATGTCAATGTCCTAGTCCTAGGAACCTGTAAATATGTCACCTTACATATCAAAAGAGACTTTGCGGATATGATTAGGCTAAGAATTGTGAGGTGGGGGAGATTATTCTAGAGTCTCTGGATGGACTCAATGCAATCACAAGGGTCCCTACGAGAAGGAGGCAGGAGCATGAGAGTCAGAGAGGAGATGTGACAATGGAAGCAGGTTGAAGTGATGCACTTTGCAGATGGATGAAGAGGCCATGAGCCAAGGAATTTGGGTAACTTCTAGAAGCTGGAAAAGGTATGAAAAGGATTCTCACATAGAGACTCTAGAAGAAACAAAGCTTTGCCAACATTTTGATTTTATCCCTAAAGACCCATTCTGGACTCCAGACCTCCATAACTTCAAGGAATAAATTTGCATGGCTTGGCGACTCATCCCCAAATCTGGGAGGCTGAAGCAGGAACATTGCTTGAACCCAGGAGTTCAAGGTTGCAGTGAGCCACGATTGTACCACTGCACTCCAGCCTGAGTGACAGAGCCCCCATCTTTAAAAGTTAATAATAATAATGTTTTAAGATAATACATTTATGTTATTTTAAGCCACTAAATTTGTGGGAAATGGAGTGGAATCCTACCCTTTTTCCTTGGTGAAAACAGGAAAGGCCATATTTTTATTTTGTATGTATTAGCTTAAAAAGCTTTAACCAGTCAGCAAAACTTCAGGAACATCCCTTATGTCCCTGAAGGCCCAAATACTAAATTATCAGACACGGTTCTTTCCTGAAAGACTTTCAAAGTGGAAGAATTTTTTGCTATCCTACTCATGGGCACCTGACCATGCCATGTCCTGGATTTCCTAGGCAATCCTGTGACCTCTTAGCAATCCCTCTGACTGATGGTGACATCAATTTCATAATGGATGGCCATGACAGGGGCAGATGGGAGTGCTACCCTCCACCACCCAGAAACAGGGTCTAGATTTCCCAGAGCCATCCTTCTGTATGTACATCGCTTTGCTTTCTGGGTCAGGTGCCCGTGAGTAGGATCATTTGTGAGGTATGCCAGAGATTGCTAGTTTTCCCTGAATGTCCATTCTCCCCACTCCTTCCTTAACAATAGAACTCTGGTCTTTATTCTGGACAGCTTTTTGTCCAGCTAAAAATAAGAGTTCTATTGTTAAGGAAGGAGTGGGGAGAATGGACATTCAGGGAAAACTAGCAATCTCTGACATACCTCACAAATGATCTCATTAATTAATAAATCTTGAGTAACCACTTGGTATTTATGGTAGCTCTAAACCCCAGGGAAGACACAGGCCTTTTTCCATTAGGATTGAGAGGGGAGAATTACCCTTCTGATACCTTAGGGAAGCCTGATAAAGAAACTTGCACAGAGTTATAAAGACAAAGGAAGCAGCTATTAATAAAAGGGATGTAGAGGCTGGGCACAGTGGCTCATACCTGTAATTCTAGCACTTTGGGAGATTGAGGCGGGCAGATCACAAGGTCAAGAGTTCAAGACCATCCTGGACAACATGGTGAAACCCCATCTCCACAAAAAGTATAAAGATTAGTGTGGCATGGTAGCAGGCGCCCGTAGTACTAGCTACTCAGGAGGCTGGGGTGGGAATATCACCTGAGCCCAGGAGGTCGATGATGTGGTGAGCCGTGAGGGTGCCACTGCACTCCAGCCTAGGGGGTGACAGTGTGAGACCCTGTTTCAAAAAAAAACAAAAATGAAACAAACACTTATTTAAAAATTTACAGTTATTCACATTAAATCCTCACCAAAAATATGTAAAGTCTTTATTATCATCCTCATTTAACAAATGAGAAATCTAAAATGTAAAGAGCTTAAATGATCTACCCAAGTTTGAAAACAATGACCATGTTGGGACTAAAATTAAAGTCCTCAGAATCCAGGGTTCAGAATCTGTGCCCTTTCCTCCCCATCATTAGGCCTCCCTTCAGGCAGTTTGACAGAGAACATGTCTTCAAGTTGGAAGAGTGAGAAATGATGTGGGTCCTACAAACCTACTGGATGGGTCTTACAAACCCACTGGGTGAGATATGATGATGCTGGAGATACGAGCTATGTGACATGGTTGGACCATTGGAAAAAAAGATCCACCCCTTGTGGCCAGATAGTCTGCGACAGTCTGAATGCCGGTGTCCCCCACCGCCAACAATTTGCATGTTGAAACTTGATTCCCAGTGGGATAACATTAAGAGGTGGAGCCTTTGGGAGATGACTGGGTCATGAGGGCTCTACTCCCATGAATGAGATTTGTGTCCTTATAAAAGAGGCTTGAGTCTCGCGAGAAGAGGCGGTTGCCGTAGCGGAGCCCCCTGGCTGTGTGTGGCTGAGGCTTCGGCGCCGGAGCCGCCGTCGGTTCGCTGAACGCATTAGTGCGCCCGCCGCCGCCATGTCTCGCTACCTGCATCCCCCAAACACGTCTCTGTTCGTCAGGAACGTGGCCAACGACACCAGGTCTGAAGATTTACGGCGTGAATTTGGTCGTTATGGTCCTATAGTTGATGTGTATGTTCCACCTGATTTCTACACTCGCCGTCCAAGAGGATTTGCTTATGTTCAATTTGAGGATGTTCGTGATGCTGAAGATGCTTTACGTAATTTGGACAGAAAGTGGATCTGTGGACGGCAGATGGAAATACAGTTTGCCCAGGGGGATCGGAAGACACCAAATCAGATGAAAGCCAAGGAAGGGAGGAATGTGTACAGTTCTTCACGCTATGATGATTATGACGGATACAGATGTTCAAGAAGCCGAAGTTACGAAAGAAGGAGATCAAGAAGTCGGTCTTTTGATTACAACTATAGAAGATCGTATAGTCCTAGAAGCAGGAGACCGACTGGAAGGCCACGGCGGAGCAGAAGCCATTCCGACAATGATAGATTCAAACACCGAAATCGATCTTTTTCAAGATCTAAATCCAGTTCAAGATCACGGTCCAAGTCCCAGCCCAAGAAAGAAATGAAGGCTAAATCACGTCCTGGGTCTGCATCTCACACCAAAACTAGAGGCACCTCTAAAACAGATTCCAAAACACATTATAAGTCTGGCTCAAGATATGAAAAGGAATCAAGGAAAAAAGAACCACCGAGATCCAAATCTCAGTCAAGATCACAGTCTAGGTCTAGGTCAAAATCTAGATCAAGGTCTTGGACTAGTCCTAAGTCCAGTGGTCACTGATAGTATAAACCATGGTCATTTTTAGGCATGTATCATTTACTCATAGTTTGGTTTACTTAAATTATCAGAAATACAATGTTGCAATGATGCTTAAAAAATGCTTGTTAGTTTTCCCTGTACCAGGCAATGGTTGTGATTAAAATGATATGCTGTTGAGAAGCCACTCTTAAGAGTCCAGTTTGTTTAATGTTATGGGCAGCTACCAATTTGTGGTGTCTCTGTATATTTTTGTAAAGATTCTCATTTTTTTATGCTTGAAGTATTTGGTGAAAAGATGTTGGTTGACCATAATTTGCAACATTGTCTCATTAAAAATAAACTTTCATATTCATATTTGGTAGAACTGTTAACCTAGAAATGTAGCTTGCTAATAGGATAGAATGATACAAAAGTGAAGTAGTAGCCACAGTACAGCACTGACTGCTCAGACACACCTAGGTTCAGGATGGGCCTTTATGTCTTGTCAAAATGTCTAGGCCCGGCCAGGCGCGGTGGCTCACGCCTGTAATCCCAGCACTTTGGGAGGCCAAGGCGAGTGGGTCATGAGGTCAGGCATTCCAGACCAGCCTGACCAACAGGATGAAACCCCCTCTACTGAAAATACAAAATTAGTTGGGCCTGGTGGTGCACACTTGTAATCCCAGCTACTTGGGAGGCTGAAGCAGGGGAATTGCTGGAACTTGGGAGGTGACAGTTGCAGTCACTGCACTCTAGCCTGGGTGACAGAGTGAGACTTCGTCTCAAAAAAAAAAAAAAAAAAGTCTAGGCCCATGATAATTACTTATGATAGTAGATTAGTTCTTTTGTTAACCCCACTGTCTTGGGGAATGATGCCAGCTGGGTTAGGTAGTATTTTCAGGGAGATTGAGTTTTTGACTGAAACATGGAGGCTTCACTGCTTTTTTTCTGGTTCCTGGGAAGATTTGGAACATAGAAAACACAAAAGCTTATCTTAAAATTGGATCAGGTCGATGATGGCAAAAATAATTTTAAGGAGAAAGGAATATTCTTACGTAGTTATTCTAAAGTTTAAGGAGCGTTGTTGACCATAATAATATTGCTTAGTTTTCTTACTGCTGTTAGAAGGGAGTAAATTGTTTCAAAGTAGGTTTTGTGTGTGCGTGTGCATAGCGTAAAAGAACTGAATTTTTTTGATGCTTAGAGCACTTGGCCTGTGCATTTGTATCAAAATTTGCCTGCCTCTTTATGAGCGAGGCCTGCTTTTCACACCTCAGTTTATTTAATATGAGGCAAGTTGAAAGACTCATTCTGGGCGATTCTGTGGTGCCATGAAATTTAAAATAATTTTGGAAAAAGGATTAGTCAGTTTTAAGCAAGAGTCACATCTGAGTTTTTGATTATCAGTGTAGTACCTGACTAAAAATGAAGTAATAATCTTAAGCATTTATAATTTCTAGTATTTTTCTGAAAGATCGTTTTGGGGACAAAAGTGACTTGACATGTCCAACTTCATTTCAGAATAAAAAGCATCTTTAAAAATCAGATTGCTTGCTTACAGATATAAGTAAGAATTATGGAGAAACAATTCCTTTTAGAGAATTACTTTTTTCAATTTTGGTTTTTGGAATCTAGGCTTTGCCTGTAAAGAATAAAACAATGGATTTTAAATACTGTTTGTGGAATGTGTTTAAAGGATCGATTATTCTAGAACCTTTGTATATTTGATAGTATTTCTAACTTCAATTTTTTTTACTGTTTGTAATTAATGTTCACGTTCTGCTATGCAATCATTTATATGCACATTTCTTTAATTTATTTAGATTTTCCTGGATGTATAGTTTAAACAACAAAAAGTCTATATAAAACTGTAGCAGTAGTTTGCAGTTCTAGAAAAGAGGAAAGTTGTGGGGTTAAACTTTGTATTTTCTTTCTTATAGAGGCTTCTAAAAACATATTTTTATATGTTCTTTTTAACAAACATTGTGTACAACCTTTAAAACATCAATGTTTGGATCAAAACAAGACCCAGCTTATTTTCTGCTTGCTGTAAATTAAGCAAACATGCTATAATAAAAACAAAATGAAGGAAAATAAATAAATAAATAAATAAGAGGCTTGAGGATGTTCCCTGGGCCTTTCTGCCACGGGAGGATGCTTGCAGCAAGAAGGCATCATTTTTGAAGAAGAGAGCAAGCACTACCAGACACTGAGCCTGCAGAAGCCTGAGCTCCCCTGTCCCAACTCCCAGACCTGTGAGCAATACATTTCTCTTTTTTTTTTCTTTTTTGGAGACAGGGTCTCACTCTTGTCGCCCATGATGGAGGATAATGGCACAATCTTGGCTCACTGCAACCTCTGCCTCCAGGGTTCAAGCAATTCTCCTGCCTCAGCCTCTTGAGTAGCTGGGATTACAGGCACACACCACCACACCCAGTTCATTTTTGTATTTTTAGTGGAGACAGCGTTTCACCATATTGGCCAGGCTGTTCTCAAACTCCTGACCTCAGGTGATCCACCTACCTCGGCCTCCCAGAGTGCTGGAATTACAGGCGTGAGCTACCATGCCTGACTGCAATATATTTCTATTGTTTATATGAGCGATTACCCAGTTTAAGGTACTTTGTTTTTCTGTTTGTTTGTTTGTTTGTTTATTGAGACAGAGCCTCACTCTGTTGTCCAGACTGAAGTATAGAGTTGTGATCATGGCTCACTGCAGCCTCGACCTCCTGGGCTCAAGCAACCCTTCCACCTCAACCTTCTGAGTAGCTGGGACTACAGGTGCATGCCACCACAGCCAGCTAATTCTTTTGTATTTTTGGTAGAGACAGGATCTCACTATGTTGCCCAGGCTGGTCTCGAACTCCTGGGCTCAAGCAAACCTCCTGTCTCAGCCTCTTGCCTCAGTCACCTAGGATTATAGGTGTGAGCCACCACAACACGCCTAAGGTACTGTTACAGCAGCAGGAACAGATTAAGACATTGCCTTTCTATAAACCAGAGGTCATGCAGAAAGTCAAACTGCTTTTCCTAAATAAGATGTACGAGTGTTCAGACAACGTAAGCCAAGAATTCTCCCACACAAGCGGCTTCCTGAGATACTTAGCCTGCTACTGCCCAGCACCAACTTTCTGCCTCAGTTTTCATACATTCTCCCTCCCTAGATTACTAGACTCCCCATTACTATGGTAGTTTTGATTTCCATAGTAAAAGCAACACACCCATGTTCATCTCAATATTATTCACAATAACCAAGAGGTGGGAGCAACACAAATGTCCATCAACAGACAAATGGATAAACAAAATGTGGTATATCCATACAATGGTATATTATGCATCCTTAAAAAGGAAGAGAATCATGTCGCATGCTACAACATAGATGAACCTCAAGGACATTATGCCCAAGAGAATAAGCTGGTCACAAAAGGACAAATCTCATATGCTTTTACTCATATGACTTATCTAGAGTAGTCAAAATTATATAAACAGAAAGTTAAACAATGATTGAAGAGGGCTGTGGAAACAGGGAGGAAGAATGAGGTTTAATGAGTATAGAGTTTCTGTTGCGTAAGACGAAAAAGTTCTAGAGATGTTATACAAACACGTGAATATACTAAACACTACTTAACTGTATACTTAAAAATGGTTATGATGTTATGGTTTTGCCAGTTTTTATTTATTTATTTAGAGGCAGGGTCTCGCTCTGTCATCCAGGCTGGAGTGCACTGGCACAATCTTGGCTCACTGCAGCCTCAATCCTCTGGGATTAAGAGATCCTCCTGCCTCAGCCCCCCTGAGTAGCTGAGACTACAGGGGTGCAAGACCATGCCCTGCTAGTTTGGATGTTTTTGTAAAGATGTGGTTTCATCATGTTGCTGAGGCTGGCCTTGAACTCCAAGACTCAAGCGATCCTCCTGCCTCACCCTCCCAAAGTGCTGGGATTACAGGCATGAGCCACCACGACTGGCTTCGACAATTTTTCAAAAGGAATAAAATTACAACAACACACAAACACACACACACACCCATATGAAGCAGGGTTTTCCAGGCAAGAGGTAGGATGCTGGCCGCACAATCAATCAATCAATTGCACAGCTTTGGATGCCAACCTAAGCTGTACTAGGTGATTGGGCTGTGGTTCTTGCATTCAGATTGAAACTCAGCAACCTAGGTTTTTAACTACTTACAGCTGGATTTAATCAAGTGCTGTCCACGGCAAATCTGTGGAGGGGAAGAAAGGGAAAGGATGTGAGTTGAGGCAGGTTTTTGACTACTCATAGTGTGCAACTGACAATGCTTTTCACAGCAAAAACGCTGGATAAATCTTCATCCAATTGAATTGACTGGACTTAATGGTATCTGGTGTTGACTTGCTTGCTTTCAGACATGTTGTCCTAAGAAACAACACACATTGCCATGGGGTCCCCAGCCACTTGCCTCGAACCTGCCAGAACAAGGAATGATTCCAACTATTTGTGTTGCTCATGAGTGTGTGCTGGAACTGCATCTCCACTTCTACTCTTCCAAGCACTGGCTCCTGGGTCCACTTTCCCGATTTTGCTATTCTTCTCCACTTGGATCTATTAACGTGCCTATGTCTCCCTCCTGCTTTTGCCCCTCCACCCTACTGGATTCTGGCTATCGCTGTATTTTTCCATCTGTTTCATTCCCTCTCTGTTTTGTGTTTTCAGTCCTTGGACACAAAATATCATCACATTTAGCAACCAACCCTTGGACTCATTAGAACATGGTGCTAAAAGTTCTCAGCATGTGCATACAATATCAAAACGAGACCATCCTGGCTAACACGGTGAAATCCCATCTCTACTAAAATTGCAAAAAAATTAGCTGGCTATGGTGGCATGCGCCTGTAATCCCAGCTACTCAGGAGGCTGAGGCAGGAGAATCGCTTGAACCTGGGAAGTGGAAGTTGCAGTGAGCCGAGATCATGCTACTGCACTCCAGCCTGGGCCACAGAGCAACACTCTATCTCAAAAACAAAAAAGGTTTTACGGCAAGCTATATATATTATACCAAATAAGGACCAATAAGCCATTCTTGTCACTCTGATGGAAATACAATGTTTGTATCATGTCTAAGGGAATGCCTTTCAGGGGAAATCTAATTCATCTTCTCATTTCTAAACTAGGTTACTCTGAAAATATAGGAGTAACAGTTATTACTTTCCACTATGCAATACAAATTAGCATGAAGGCACATAAAGGCCCAAAATTTGATAAGAATTTTGATTTTTTGTTTGTTTGGGAGACAGAGTCTTGCTCTGTCACCCAGGCTGGAGTGCAGTGGTGCAGCTCGGCTCATTGCAATCTCCACCTCCCAGGTTCAAGTGATTTTCATGCCTCAGCCTCCCAAGTAGCTGGGATTACAGGCAGGCACCACCACGCCCAGCTTATTTTGTATGGGGGAAAAGGGCGAGTATTTTTAGTAGAGATAGGGTTTCACCATGTTGTCCAGGCTGGCGTCAAACACCTGGCCTCAAGTGATCCGCCCACCTTGGCCTCTCAAAGTGCTGGGAAATTACAATGGGAGCCACCACACCCAGTTACGAATTTTGTATTAAAATGTGAAAGACAGAACAGGCATGATGGCCCATGTCTGTAATCCTAGCACTTTGGGAGGCCAAGGCAGGAGGACTGCTTGAGCCCAGGAGTTTAAGATCAGCCTGGGCAGCATCGTAAGACCTCATCTCTACACACTCACACACAAAATGTAAAAGACCACCCAAAATAACATGCAGAACCTTTTGTTAGGTCTAATAATGTTTCCTAATAATCCATTCTACTAGATTAATCCTTTTGAATACAGCAAACTGAGGCTAAAGTGATAAAAACATAAATTTTCTGTAAGATCTCCAAAAAGGGAGATCCCAATGAAAAGCAATATAGCATGAAAGGTGGAGGCTGTATTCCAACCAGACAGACAGAATTCTGATCTGCCAACCTCCTTGGGTCTGCCACTCACCAGCCCCCTGTCCTTAGGTAAGTTGTTAAGTAACTCTCAAGCTCTCTTCTGCTCACAGATGTAATGGGGATAAAAACGCTACCTACCTGGTAGAGTTGTTACAACTACATGAATTAGAGAATTTATGTAAAGCTCTTGGCACTGTAATTCTTAGCATACAGTAAGATTTGGATAAGTGGAAATAGTGAAAGCAACATAAAACTCATGGTTCCTGCCATGAGAGGGGCAGGTTTTCAAAGAATTCTGATTATTCAGAGCAATCAGCTATTTGATAGCTGCAATTCACACTTCGAACAGCAGGTGGCACTAGCAGCATATCTATCTAGTTTTACCTCGAACCTATTTTTTTTTTTTTTTTTTTTTGAGAGCGTCTCCCTCTGCCCCTTCTATTGCTATTGCCCAGTCATCCAGTGGCACCATCACAACTCACAGCAGCCTCGACCTCCTTGGGCTCAAGTGATCTTCCTACCCCAGCTTTCCAAGTAGCTGGGACCACAGGCACACACCACCATACCTGGCTAATATGTAGTTGGGTATTTTGTTGTTGTTGTTATTGTTGTTTTTAAAGATGAGGTCTTTCTATGTTGCCCAGGTTGGCCTCGAACTCCTGGGCTCAGGTGATCCTCCTGCCTCAGCCTCTCAAGGTGCTGGGATTATAGGCATGAGCCACCATGCCTCATCTTCATTTTTTTAAGCATCTTTTTCACCTTTCTTTTTCAGGAAAAGCAGTGTTTCCCCCTTGATCTTTTAAAATTGTTGTTATTCTTATATAGTGTGATAAGCTATTTCCAGTACTATATGATAAATTATTGCTATTTCACAACGCAGACATGAACTGCCATGGACTGCTTTCATGAAATTTTGAAATTTATTGAGGTTTTGTCTGCTTTCTAGTTCTTTTTTTTTTTCAATTATATAGTGCTGTTCTACTATGGGCCACTGAAACAAGAATATTCCACATCTATGGCCTTTTTTTAAACCTGGAAAGGCCAAGAAGCCTTTGCTAGGATAGTACAGGATACGCATTTGTTAGAAGGAATGAATGTTCAAAAGACCTTGAGCATCATGACGGGAAAACTACAAATGGCTCTGAAATTGCTCCTAAATTGCTTGATAGATATTCTCGTGGTTAATTTAGCAGCAATTGTAATTATATTTTCCAATTATATTTTTGTTGCTCTCACAAGTATCTTCATATATTTAATTTCGTACGCTGCTGCCTTTACAACTAACGATAGTTCCTTCTCCAGCCCAGCTTGGGAAGCCACGAATTTTTTACTGACTTGTGTGATCAGGCTTGAACTATAACATGGTTTGCGATTCCCTTGTATCACAGGTTTGGAGAGTCCCCGGAAGAGTGGATTCAGTCAGTAGGGATAAGATGCTCACTTTGAGTCAACTTCAGGCAAACAACTTCTGTGCAAAATGTGTTTGTGGAAGCACCACCAGTAAAGTCTCCATTGCAACCAGACTCCTGTGGTTAGTATAGAAAGAATGGTGTTGACAGAGATCGCAAAAGCATCCCAACCACAGGGGCGGGGCTGTCATCTGCCGCTGGGCTGGGAGGTGAACTCTGAGGTTCTGCAAATGCATTTTATGGGGGCCTTGGCACCCCCTCGCTGGAAGGGTTCAGAATGACACCATGTAAACCATTGCAAAGGCCGATTCCTCCCAAAGAAGACCCCAGTGACAAGCAAAAGAACAACAATCAGGTTGACCTATTTAAACTTTTCCATAACAAATTATTTGCAAGTTAGAGTCTCTTCTGTGTTTAAAGATGAATAAATTCAGAGAGGAAAACAGAACTTGCATAATTGAAACATTATATATTGAAATATCATATATTCGCCAGGCACAGTAGCTCACGCCTGTAATCCCAGCACTTTGGGAGGCTGAGGCGGGTGGATCATGAAGTCAAGAGACCAAGACCATCCTGGCCAACAATGGTGAACCTCCATCTCTACTAAAAATACAAAAATTAGCCTGGCATGGTGGCACGCGCCTGTGGTCCCAGCTACTCCGGAGGCTGAGGCGGAAGAATTGCTTAAAGCCAGGAGGCGGAGGTTGCAGTGAGTCGAGATTGTGCCACTGCACTCCAGCCTGGTGACAGAGCAAGACTCTGTCTCAATTAAAAAAAGAAATATCATATATTACAGAAGTAGCAAATTAGTAAATTTAATGAATTTCATTAGTATAACATATATCATATGTTATATAAAATATAGAATATCATATATTACATATAATATATATACCATATTCTATACACACACACACACACATGGCCTGTGGAGTCCCTTTACATGTACTTCAAAACAAGAGAAAAAAACTAAATAAAATAGAATTCTGATTTATTCAGCCAGGCACAGTGGCTCATGCCTGTAGTCCTTGTGCTTTGAGAAGCCAAGGTTGGGGGATTGCTTCAGGCCGGGAGTTCAAGGTTGCAGTGAGCTATGTTCACGCCACTGCACTGCAGCCTGGGAGGAAGAGTGAAACCCCATCTCCACAAAAAAATTTTAAAAATAATTAGCCAGGGCCAGGCGCGACGGCTCATGCCTGCAATCCCAGCACTCTGGGAGGCGGAGGCAGGCTGATCACAAGGTCAGGAGTTCGGGAGTATCCTGGTCAACATGATAAAACCTGTCTCTACTAAAAATACAAAAATTAGGTAGGCATAGTAGTACACACCTGTTGTCCCAGCTACTCAGGAGGCTGAGGCAGGAGAATCACTCGAACCCGGGAGGCGGAAGTTGCAGTGAGCCAAGATCATGCGACTGCACTGTAGCCATCCCTTTTACGTATCAGTCCAGATAACTATTTGGTTTTTCTCTACTGACCTTTTGATAAAATAAATTCTATTGATAAGTTTCCTATTCTTGAACTGCTCTTGTACTTGAAGACTAAAACTTATAGCAGGGCACAGGGGCTCACGCCTGTAATCCCAGCACTTTGAGAGGCCGAGGCAGGTGGACCACCTGAGGTCAAGAGTTTGAGACCAATCTCACCAAAATGGTCAAACCCATCTCTACTAAAAATACAAAAATTAGCCAAGGGTGATGGCACACACCTGTGATCCCAGATACTTGGGAGGCTGAGGTTGCAATGAGCCATAATCGCACCTCTGCACTCTAGCCAGGGCAACAGAGTGAGAATCCATCTCAAAAAAAAGTATAAAACTTATTTACCAATCCCGTATCATTCTTTTCATGCAGAACAATATAAGATTCACTAATATTTTC